GGTGAAACTGGCCCAAATCGTGATTCTTTACGAGAAGCACCATTTGGGCCAGTTTCATCAACGCTTAGCGCTTTTTTTACCTTTTTTTTAAAAAGGTAATAGTATATTACACGAATCTTTTAATTATGTCGCGTCATATTACGAACACACAAAGCTTATTACAAATTGTCGACTTTTCAAACCAATTTCTTTTTTAAAATAAACAATACATTTGAAATTGGATCGTAAATTTCAAATAATCCGTACATACTTTACATAACATATTTTAGTAGATACAGTATATATAACAACACTGAGAGAAAAGATTTTGTTATAGGTACAAATCAAGGGAAAGCAAATGTGATATTTGTTAAAAAAAACAATCGATTTGTTACGAATGCAAATTAATTGGTCAATGTAACAAATAATCAATAGTATCGCTAGCAGATAAGAACAGTTGCAGGGTCTCAAATCGTAAGAAATTGACTAATTCTAGTCAAGTATTCTCCTTATATTTGACTGTGCTTGGTCGGTTTTCGACAACTTAAGGGGATCCTAAAGATCTGTATTACCGACTAAACACGTATAATTTTTGTATAACGAATACTCTTTTTCTCTTTCACGGATTGGAAAATCCTTTTCCAGGATTAAAGTATACGCATTAATACGTGTTTGTGAAATGGAGTCTACGCTGAGAATGATCAAAAATTTCGAAATCGATATATTTTTTACGATTCCTTAGTATAACATGTCTCAGCTGTCAAGTCTTGACAATATTTGCTTGAAAATCGACACGTATGTGTGACTGCGGGTGCGATCCACTTGACGCTACAAATGCTTTGAAGCATTCTTTGATTGGTCAATTCGTAAAATTCTTTCTTCTGATTGGTCAACGACGTATTTGCAGCTTTAAGTGGATCACACCCTGGGTGTATCATAGGCTGCGTGAGATATTGCTGTGCACAGGGTTGGGAAATTTAGCGCTGCGAGAGGTTTCCTACATTTCCTACGTAGGAAATGTATAATACGTACAAAACATGTATTAAACCCATTTCTCATGAAATACAGGTTACACAGTTACAGCACAGCACTGGACAAGGCTAATTAATGAAGGTTAACAGCGCTGACACTGTTAAAGGCTTTTTAATCTGCTTTCAGCAGTATGACGAATTGTTTTTTTGCAGATCGTACAAAAAGCAAAAAGTTTTTTGTCTTCATATATTTTTTTAAATTTGCCTTCTTCCCAGTATTTATGTAGAGGTCTACCTCCTCGATTCATGACTGCTAATTACTTGCTTAGTACTTATTTGTTTTATTTTGTAGATTTGGAATATGTAAATCAGTATAATATAGTTTGAAGTTACGTTACAAGTGGACCGCAGCCTCTGTGCCCGTGTGATGTGGTGTGATGTGCACGCGACCAGCGCCATTTTACTACATGGATGAAACTTATGATGTATTATACATAAGCTGCTTTCCATTTACACCGATTTTCAGATAATTCTCACTTGTGACGTCATAACTCAGTTGAATGCGCGTTCCTTTTGCATTCTGATAAGTGAGATTCAACTGAGTTTTTACCCATAATCTGCACAAAATCGAGACCGTGTGCTTTAGTGAGTCTCGTAAACTCACTTCAAAGTGAGGTTATGAACCTGTGTTGACATGTGATAACTTTTTACCAAAGTAAGCAAGTAGTGACGTCATTAATCTGAGTATAAAATACTCAGCTCACTTCAGACTCAGTTTCACTTGTGTGTAAATGGAAAGCAACTATAGTTTCATCCATGTATGAAACCATGTATGATACGTTGAGTTTGATACGTGCCCAACCCTGGCTGTGCACAGCAATCATGGTGGTACAAAATACATATCGATGGGCATAAAGTCACTAGATTGATAAAGTACCGCAAACTCGCATCCATTACTAATCTAGTGACTTTAGATGTGCGGCGCGCGGCGCGACATTTAGTGATTTCGTCGGAGTTCGAGCTTTGCTTTAGGAACCCCTTAAGCCTTGTGTCCACGATGCTAGAAATCGGTTCGAGATCTCGGACAGAGAAAAAATTAACAAATCACATTTGAACAATTTGATCACATGACCATTGCGATTGGTCAATGCTTTCTTCATCCGAGATCTCTCCGGACCGATTTCTAGCATCGTGGACACAAGGCTTAAGACTCCACGATCATCTACGAATTCTATGTAAATGAGCTAAAGACTATCCAAAAGATAGGTTAGATTCTATATAGTTTGTTTCTGTTACTAATAATTGGTTGGTATAGCAGACTAGCAGCAATCATAACAACAAAAATTGTTGTTACATATTCACCGATCACCGGTTAAAAGTACTGGTGGTTTGCCAAATTAACAATATCCTGTAAGAGATTAATAGGATAAGGTTAGGTTCTCGTCCTTGGCGCGCTAGTTCTAGATGACGTAGCTGTTACTAATCCGCATGCGTACAACGTGCGATGTTGCTATTGGTCCTTTAGACCACGAGATAGATGCGGATTGGCGTTTGCTCGCTCGTGCGACGTTTGTGCCCAACAGGGTGCGACGTTTGTGCCCAACAGGGTGCGTAGTGTGCCCAACAGGGTGCGTAAGTGTGCAAGGAGATGAGGAGCGACGGTTAATTCAACGAGTCCCATTTAAACCACGACACGTAAAGTCGGAATAAAACCTTGTGTGATATTTTATACCAAGTACAAGAGCCTATTTCTTCGCCCTTCCTTAAGCTATTCTTTAGCTCGTGCAGATAATCCTGTCCTGACTCTCAGATTATCCTTACGATCCTGAAAGACGACATATCGTTCCCTTCGGATCTCGTTCCTTTCTTACAAGGAGATTCCTTCTTTCGTGGCATAAGGCGACAATTCAATTTTCCTCTCCACGCCTTACAATCCTTTCTCAGTAAAATTATCACATGTAAACCCATCATATACTATCGCTCAAAGGTTTGGAGTATTTGATAATTTTTAAATAAATCACTATCCTTTACCAATTGTATCATTTAAAAATATAAAATTTATTATTATTTTTAAGCGTATATTATAACAATAATTTAAGATTGAGATAATAAACATTATAGTCCATTTACAATGTTAATAAATAAATTAAATTTTCCTTCGTTTAGAAATGCACCAAACTTAGCAATAACGTACATATTACAGTACAGCTAGGTAAGTATAATCAATCAGGAACTATCCCCCCAACTTTATAATATTTCAAATAGCTCGTTAATATCAACATTTCTCAGGTCAAACATTAAATTAGTATTATAATATGATAATTTGTGAACCATTACACGTAGCTTTCAGTAAAAATTTAATAGTTTTGTGTTCCAGTTCTAAATTTAGCATTATGGCAGAAAATAGGCCAAATGGGAATGATTGTACATCCAACGTTCTACCGTACGCTATCTATCCTATGATGCCACCGAACATCTTAGAAATTGCTGATGGTATGTGTATACAATGTTGATTATTTAATTCACGAAATACATCGTATTTGATGCATGTGATATCTAATAATAGTTCTGCAAAATGGAATGCAACCCCTGTTTCACGATGTGAGAGTCGACATAGCTAGCTGCCCTGATTTAACTACAGCACCATATAATCTTGCCGGAGTAGGTAAGAAATCACAACAAAGCGTCTAATTTGTCATTAAATGGAGCATCTTTAAGAATGAATAATTCATACAGGATTAGGTGGCAACACGTCGCTAGTAGAATTCCTTCGTCACGATGTACATACACCGTGGAAGCATAGAACACGGGATATTCTAAAAGTATTCACAGGCAGCATTCGTGATTCCTTTATCATCGGATCTACTTTCGCTACAAAACCAACCATGCCTTATTACGGACATGTATGTATTATCAATATATTCACATTTTCATGATCATATGGATAATACTATTATGACAATAAAAAGTTCTGATAATATGTCTTTGCTACATAACTGACGAGGTAACGATAGATAATTTACGAATCATATCATCAAATGATCGTTATCTTACCGCTGCTTCATAATTCTATTCTATTGATTTAATACTATTCAGTTTATTCTATTGAGCTTCAATTATGTTTTATCATACACACGACTTCTTTGACATTGTTACTGTTTCTCATAAACCTGATAATTGTTGTAGCTCATTATGAATGCAATGTACACAGCACCTATGGGTATTAGGAACGAGAGTCGTCTTATTTTCGCAGAATTGCGTAATGGACAGACAAGAATAGAAAAGTTAACTGATCCTAACCAAATGATATACACCTGCAAGGGCAACTTCTTTATCAGCGAGGGTAGGGAAGGCCCTGTTATCAGAGTGCGTGCCAAAGGTCGAAAAAAAAGTGATACAGACATCATAACTTCAATGCAAACGGTCCTTTATGAACATTATGGAAGAAATTGGAAAACTGTTGGTAATTAGTAGTCTGATGTATACAGATGATAAAGGACATATAAAGACAATCAGATAATTTTATATGTCTGTCCTCAAAGCTTTAGGTGGTGTTCTAAAAATGACAAACGGACGTGTGGCGTGTAACCTTATGTGGGATGAATATCAGGAGCCGATATTATCATTTCCCGATTTTGTTAGAGCACAGCAATGTACCGAGATATGTCTAGAGTCAGATATGGTAGCCGTTGGCACAATATTTAACCGTCAACCACTACTATTTAATCAGGAACAACGTTACGATCTTGTAAGTTATTTGTCCCAGTTATGCGGAGACTAAAAATCATTGATCTTAAAATTATCATATTATATTATTTATCATAGATAAATATCATTAGAAATTTACTTGTTTATTTAATAATTATTAATGCAATTACTTTTATCATTCAGCTTCTGTCAAATTTTAATTTGCGATTATTAAGTTCAGTTAAAATAGAGAAATCTTTCTCAATTGTTTAATCATTGAACGCATCAGTTGCGTCTAAATACGAAAATTTAAACATACCGAAGTAATGATATTCTTTAGTTGTTCGTTTTTCAGAATCTGTATAATAGAAGCGAGTTCCATTGTTTCAATAATTATGGAGCAGGCGGACAATTTATTAGCGATACTACTCCGGATACGACGGAATATGAAGGTTACTTCAATGTAGCGGAAAATATACATTTACAAGTATCATAACTAAATGCCATTTTAATCATAAACTAGGCCATTACGTTCTCTCATATGTAAACAGAAATTTATATATAATGTTACCTAGCACACTATTGTGACGAAGACGTCATATGGGATTACAATATCTTATAAGCTTTCTTTGACATTTTTAATTATTTATGAGGACGTAGAGTTCTTAATATTCGAGAAACGTTCTAATAATTAATCTCTTTGGATTTAAAGGTATAGAACCTTGTTACGTTTCCTTGAAACAAAAATTGACAAAGTAACTAAATTAATAATTTATATATCATAAATTCATAATTTAATTACTTTAATTAAAGCAATTTAAATTCTAATATTTTTCGATATGAGTAAAATTCTGAAGTAGATACATAATTATATGAAAAATATTGTGGATATAAAGATCAAAGAAAAATTCCATACGTCACATTTTATCTATGTACTTAATTCGTAGTATTAAATATGTGAGACTCGTTTTCATTAAAGAGGTCTCAAGTTATCAAATTACATTTTACTGTACAGAATTAATGTCCCTTAAGTATTTTTGGTTTTCATATTTCTAAATTTTTCGAGACAAAACGGTTTCGAGACAAAATTTTAAATTTTTTCACGGTTAATTTTTATATGAACAATTTGGTAATAACGTTGTATTCTTTATGACTGAAAACAGTAATATCTAATTAAACACTAAGATTATGCTAAAGTTAAGAAAGTCATTTTAAAAAGTAAGTTGTTACGCGTTATGATTTACTGAAGAATCGCATTACCTTATAAGCTTTTTTTGATGTAATTTTTGTAATATAATGAGAATTTTTAGTTCTGATATTCGAAAAACATTCCAACAACTAATCCGTTTGGATTTAAAGACATACATTCATGCTACGTTTCCCTGAAACGAAAGTCGATAAAGTAACTAAATTCATAATTTATTATACATAGCATAAATTCATAATTCGAGTACTTTAATTGAACATAATTTAAATTTTAATATTTTTCAATATAACATGACAAGAATTCTTGTAGTACTAAGTAAAATTCTGGAATAGATATCATAATTGACTCACACTTCACGGATCGTTCAACGAATATGAATTGAGATCATATTGTAACACTCGTAAAGAGAACTTCACCATTGTTCATAACACGAAATCAAATCGGTATCGATTGATTTTTCGGACCGTTTGATTTGATATCGGCTAAATTTTCTATTGATTGCGTTAAAGTTACGAAAATCATTTAAAAAATTGACTTGTTCCATTAGGCGTTATGGCTAAAAAAGGTAATAAATAACTTATAATACATAGGTGAATTATTTTTTTCGTTACAAGTAACAAATAAAAGTAACGAGTTACAATTAAATAATTATTTGATTCTATAATAACTTTTTTAACCCTTTAGAGATAGCGTTTGACTTTTGCAACTCAGGAATTACCGTTACTGTCATAAAAACTTCGTAATATCATTATCAAATTGTTACTATATCAAAATAACGATAAAAGCTAATGCATACTTTCATTCTCTGCTTTTAAGTTATCATTTTCTCGTTTACCGTTTTTCTCAGTATTATAATTTTGTAATGTAAAGTTCACATTTAGGGAAAAGTTGCTGAATGCGTACCACTTAACGTATTTTTTATTATATTTCTCATTTAGAACTGATTTGTGTGCAAATGAAGATTAGAAATTGTACTTTGATATTTCAAGTACCTATTATTACACGTTTTATCTTCTATCAATATCA